GAGGCTGGGCAGAGCCGCCGCCAGGATGGTGCAGCTGGAGCCTTGCCATGGGGCATGCAGCCAAAGTGCTCTCCCCCAGCTGGGATCACTGAGACAGGTCAGGATGGGGCCACAGCCGTGGGTTGTAACAGCGATTCTGGAGCTCTGCATCAGAAACATCAGCACCCATAGGGACAGGGACAGGGTGGTGCCATCTCTGCAGACCTGCTTGTGGGGTGCACTGAGCCCACAGCACCCCAGCTCTGCATCACCCCCTTGGGAAGCACCATCCTGGCCTGAGGTGACCGTCCCATGACCCTCTGGCTGCCCGGAACACCGTGTTTCTGTTTTGCAGGAAAAAAATCAGGTTTGCTTTTCTCTTTGCAGTCTGGAATGGGAACAAATAGTTTTGAAATTTCCTTCTCAGTTTCCTTTCCTCCCCTGTTTTTATACTTTTCACATGATTTTATGACATAATGGGACAAAGCACTTTAGATATTTGTCCCATTTTTCATTTGGGAAATGATTAAAAGCAGCTGCTCCATGGCCCTAAATAAAACAGCTTATCAAGACGCTTGGTGATGGGGTCGGGATGACACGCTGAATTGGGCTGTCACACTGCAGGCTGCCTGTTTGCACACGTGGATATAGATTTTCATGTGTATTCATATATATACACACATACATGCATACCTATAGCTAGTACTGCCCTCGATGAGCATAAAACAGGAACTAAATGAAGGAGACTTGCAGCTCGTTTGCTGGGTTACCCTGCAGCACGCCAGCAGCAGTAGCACAGTGTGGCAGAGTAAAGAGAATAGAAACCATCTTGCTTACAACCCAAATGTCAGACCGCACTGAGCTGCATATTTTCTCAGCCAGAATCACTTTCCAGTGGAAATGCATTTCCTCTGGGAATCCTTTTTTTTTTTTGAATTGAGATTTTTTTTACTGTCATTCTCACATTGAACTTTTCAGCAAAAAAATGTTGGGGTGGCAGCGGTGGGGAAGGGAGCTGAGACAGTGGGGTTTGCATCCTGCTTTGGGTTGCTGCGAGGGATGCTGTGAGTGTTAAAGGGTCGAATATTTCACAGGAGTGTTTTATTGGTTGCTCTGGCATTGGGGTGGGGGTCGTGTGGCGTATTCTCCATTCTTGACACCCAAGGGCTAGTATGTCCTGGATGCCTCTGGGACATGCAGGATGCTCTGGGGTGGGAGCACCGCTCCTGCGAGGAGCCTTGACAAGCCTTGTCTCTGTGCCAGATCGACCTCCGGGACCAGAAGAAGGTGACGGGCATCATCACGCAAGGAGCCCGTGACTTTGGTCACATCCAGTATGTGGCAGCCTACAAGGTGGCCTACAGTGACAACGGCACATCCTGGACCCTCTACCGGGATGGCCAGACAAACAGCACCAAGGTGTGTGGGACAGGGCAAGGTGGGCAGCGACCTCCCAGAGCTCGGGGATGCTGCTGTGGGGAGGGATGGCATGGTGGTGAGGAGGTCCTGGCAGTGCTGAGACCCACCTTTCCCTCCCTAGATCTTCCATGGTAACAGCGACAACTACTCACACAAGAAGAATGTCTTCGAGGTGCCCTTCTACGCCCGCTTCGTCCGCATCCTGCCCGTGGCCTGGCACAACCGCATCACCCTGCGCGTGGAGCTGCTGGGCTGCGACGAGTAGGCGCCCAGGGAGGAAGGACGGGGCTGCTTTTCCCTGCCGCCCAGCCCCCTCCCTAGATCTTCCATGGTAACAGCGACAACTACTCACACAAGAAGAATGTCTTCGAGGTGCCCTTCTACGCCCGCTTCGTCCGCATCCTGCCCGTGGCCTGGCACAACCGCATCACCCTGCGCGTGGAGCTGCTGGGCTGCGACGAGTAGGCGCCCAGGGAGGAAGGACGGGGCTGCTTTTCCCTGCCGCCCAGCCCACACCCTGCCTGCCCCTGCCTGCTCCTGCTTTTTTTTCCCTCTCCATGTCCCCAAACTCGGGAGGCGGCCGGGAGGGCTCCCCTGCCCCGTGTTGGCACTGGGGCTTCAGCACTAGACTTCATGGGGCCCTTGCAGGTGGGATGCAGGGATGGCTACTGCCCTTTTGCCCTGCTAGCCAGGGATGAGAGCCCCTCCTGCAACTGGGACTTGGCTGGGGGACCCCATCTGGCAACTGGGGCTTCCTTGGGGGACCCCATCCTGCAAATGGGGCTTTGCTGGGGGACCCCATCCTGCAACCAGGGCTTGGCTGCATCTTCCCAGTTAAGCCTGGAGACAAATTTTCTCCCCCTTTTTGCTTCTGCTTCCAGCAGGGAGGCTGCAGCCAGTGACAGTCCCCTGCTTGCACTGGGGCTCGGGGCTCAGCAGTTCTGGGGGGCTTAGGGCAGGCACCTCGGGCTCGCAGCCTCCAGTGTCCCTCCTGCTCCTTGCATGGTTGCAATCAGGGGCTCTGAAAAACCTAGGTGGCTATTGTCTCCTGCCCATTTTGCCAGGCCCTGGGTCTCCTTGTCTGTGGTGTCAGCGCCGCATAGTGTGAGGGGAGTGATGAGATGGCTCCTATCAAGAGGCACTGGGTCCCCATTGCTGTTGGCTCTACCCAGGTGCCATGGCTGGTGTTTTGGCAGATGCTGCCCATTCCCCTTCCTGGGGTGCCAGCTCCAGTGTCCTCCAAGTCTCAGCATTGCTGCCATCCCCACCTTACTGCAGTCTGAGGTGCCTGGAGGTCCCTTGTCCCCAGAGCCAAGCGGTGACCAGAGGGGCTGCAATCTGGTAGTGAGGGAGAAACGGTTTGTAGCCACAAGGATGTGGAGAAAAGATGGGAAAGGTGGTGGTTGAACCACCCAAATGCAGTAGGCAGAGAGCTGTGCCATCACCCTTTTTGTAACCCGATTTTTTTTCCCTTTCCGTGGGTTGGAGGGGAGCCTCTTGCAATGCTCGAGCCCTCAGGATTAGCAGCAGGAGAGGAGTGAGACCCGGCACTGGCAAGCAGGAGCACGGGCAGGGTGTCTGGGCGGCGATGCTTCCCCATGTGCTGGGATGTGAAGTGGCTGTGGGGCCGGGTTGGCAGTGGGTTCACTTTGGCAAGTGCAGAGGGAGCCCAGGTGGGATGGCGGCAGCGGCCCCGCTCTGGGGTGTCTCTGACAGTATTAAAACCAGCTGAAACTTTGGGACTGTTGGTTTGGATGCTCTGTGCCTCCCTGAGAGCCACCTCCTAAAGCCCTCCAGGTCCAGCCATCCCCGGGGAGCTCCCCATCTCCTCCATCCTAGCAGGCTGCCATGCTGACCCCGCAGCTCTCCTGCTTTCACAGACCCTCCTAGCTCCCTTCCCTGCCTGAAAAACAGGGTACCAGGGCTTTGTGCATCTTCCCCACTGCCTCTGTGCTGTCACAGCTGCTGGAGCCTGTGCTTGCAGCTGGCCCAGTGCAGAAGGATGGGACCCGGGGAGGGGAGGCTGGTGTCTGTACCCCATGCCCCGTGTCTCCTCCTTTGTTTTTGATCCTGGAGCAAATCCTCCAGCTTGGAGCAGAACCAGTTCTTGCACCCCAGTACGCTCCCAGGGCTGGAGGGAGCTGTGGGTTTTGCCAGAGCTGCCTGCAGGGATGGTCCTTGTGCAGGGTGGGGGGATGGATGCTGCTGGAGCAGGATACCCCTGCTTTGAGGACAGGGTCCCTGGCAGGGATGGAGCACTGGGGTGAACAGGACAGAGGAGTTTTGCTCCTCTCCAGAGGGAGACAAGGACCCCTGAGGTTGGCACGAATGGCCCAGGCCCACCTGCATCCCACCACAGCTCTGTCCTTGCAGCTGTGGAGAACCTCCACGCACCTTCCCGCTGCCAGCAGTGTCCTGCTTGGCCGTGCATCCTCTCCCCAGGGGAAGTGGGCTCCTGCCTGGCCCTGTGGGTGCCAGCCTGGGCACCAGAGGGGCTAGGGGGCTGCTGGCAGAGACTGCTCTGAACTCATTGTGGCTGTGGCCTGCATCCCACCACAGCTCTGTCCTTGCAGCTGTGGAGAACCTCCACGCACCTTCCCGCTGCCAGCAGTGTCCTGCTTGGCCGTGCATCCTCTCCCCAGGGGAAGTGGGCTCCTGCCTGGCCCTGTGGGTGCCAGCCTGGGCAGCAGGGGGGCTAGGGGGCTGCTGGCAGAGACTGCTCTGAACTCATTGTGGCTGTGGCTGCTTGGTGACAAATAACAGCCACAGCTAGAGCTGGGGACAAGGGGGACAGTCAGCTCTGTTCACCTCCAGACATGCCACCCTTATCACTGGGAAGCTGAGGCAGAGATAAGAGCAGCTTGCTCTGAGTCCAGCCAAGACAGCCCTGAGCCAGAGGCACGACAGAGGCTCCATGAGGAGGGTGATGGGAGCAGATGCCATGTGTCAGAGCAGGGGACACATCCTTGGTGCCCAGCCACCACTTCCCCCTGTCCAGGTGAGCCCCTCTGACGGATGCTGAGCCCCTTCCCAGCTCTGCGGTATTTCCTTCCTCCTCCACAGCCCCAGGACAGGGGGGTTTGGTGAGGGCCAGGGTGCCCTCCACACCATGCATAGCCCCTCACGACTTGTCCCTGTCCCTCGGATGCTCTTCCCGGACATGACTGTGTTGTGGGGCAGCAGGAAGGCCGGGAGGGCCGGCACGCTGCGGCCACGGCACCCCGCTGCCTGCTGACTCGGCCGCCGGGGCCGCCTTTTGAGCCGGTTCCTCAGGAAGCAGCCGTCGGGGAGAGCATCCTCTCGCCTCCACCCGGAAAGCCCAGCACAGATCACAGCCTCCTCCATCCCACTGGGAATGTTGGTTTTCCTTCCCAGTTTGAGCCTTTGGGTAACAGGTTCCCACTGAAATCGTCCTGCGCAAGCGGCATTTCAGTGAGAAATCTCTCTCCAGTGGGGCCACCGCGGAGCTGTCAGCCGCCGGGTTTGAGGCGGGGAAGACGGGGATGACATTTTTATGGCTCCCGTTCAGCCAAAAGCTCAGCCAGCCCCAAACACGTGCCCTGAGCACGTGCTCCTGGGTCAGAGGAGCTACCCTGACCCTGTGCAGCTTCACTCACCCTGAAACCCACGGTCCCACCCAGGGTTCCCCTTTGGGGAGCTCAGCCCTGGGGCTTTGCCCCAAGCACCCACAGAAAACAAATCTGGGATCATCCCCAAAGCAGAGTGAGAGGCAGGAAGGAGTGAGGAGTGAAGGGGATTCCTCTTTCCTTGGGGGGCTGCCAGTGGCCAGATCCTTCCCCATGCCGCCTGCTCCCTGGGAGGAGGTGGAGGGCATCAGTGGCGGCATCCAGGCAAGAGCCACGACCAAATGCCAGCCATGAGCTGCTGCTGAAAAGAGTTGCACAAGAGCATCCCTATCCTTGTCCCCACTGCTGCTCCCCTCCTCGGCTGGGCAGAGGATGGCTCCTGGCAGGTGCTGGGTGCCAGCAGCACAGGCACCATAGGCAGCGTGGGACTTGATCCTCCACTCCAAAACAATAGGTTGACCACGTCAAGGAGCAGCGTGCCCCAACAGGACCGTCTGTCTCTCTGCATGGCTGGAGGGGTGGAGGGGACCATCTCGATTGCTGGCTCTCTTGGGCATGGACAAACTGAGCAGCTGCAGGGGGACAACGGCAGTTGGGATGCAGGTGGGATGCAGCTGGGACACCATCCCACCACCTCCTGCAGCCATGGGGAAGCACTGGGGGGTCCAAAGACCTTCAGCCAGCATGCAGGCAGTGCTGTGGCCCCGTGCTGGGAGGTGTAAACACCCCTCCATTGTGGGCTCTGGAGCAGCCTGCTCCAGGCAGGCAAGCAGGCAGCGTGCCCGGCCGTCACGCTCCCGCATCCCTGGGCAGCCCAGCCCTGCTGTGTTCCTCCTCGGGAAGGGCTGGTGGGCCCAGTGGGTGGCTGTGCAGGGAACAGGAGAGCCAGGAACAGCAGTGCCTCCAGACTCCGGGTCCCACAGCCACCAGTTGGGGTTTCCCATGGGCCCCAGTTGGGGTTTTCCA